GGGGAATGCCGAAGGTGGCGATGGTGCCGATCACCAAGACGGTGGCCAACAACACCAGGACCGTGACCCGTCGGTCGAGGGAGAAGCGGGGCAAGATGGATTCGCTTCGCTTCTGGATCGGATCTCTTTCAGCGCTCATGGGAGCTCCTTCGATGGAAGCCGCGCACCGGTTTCAAACGCCGTAGTTTCAAATACCGTGGCTTCAACGGATGTGTCCTAAGTCGCAGGATGGTCCTGGAGGTCGGGCATCGGGCTTTCGGCTCGGGGCGACAACGACGATTCGTCGGCGGTTTCAGGCTCGGAGTCGGCTCGGGCGGAGGACTCGGAGCGCCCGAGCAGGGCGGATTGGAGACGATCCACCAACGAGTAAATGGTCGGGATGATCAAAAGGGTCAAGCCGGTGGCGATGATCAGACCGCTGATCACGGCGATCGCCATGGGGCGGCGGATCTCGGCACCGTCTCCCAGGCCCATCGCCATGGGCAAGAGACCCAAGGCCGTGGTGGCGGTGGTCATCAGAATCGGGCGCAAGCGCACACCGCCGGCGGTGATCACCGCTTCTTCCCGGGACATGCCTCGCCGTTTGAGGGTATTGGTGTAGTCGACCATCACGATCGCATTGTTGACCACGATGCCCGCGAGCATGATCATGCCGAGAAAAACCACAATCGAGAGGTTGATGCTCAGCAAGTGCAAGCCCAAAAAGGTGCCCAAAAACGCCAAGGGGATCGTGAACATGATCACCAGTGGGTGCAACAGAGATTCGAATTGCGCCGCCATGATCACGTACACCAAGAAAATCGAGAGGCCCAAGGCCAAAAGCAGGCTGCTTTGGCTGCGCTCCCACTCCTGGTTCTGGCCGGTCAAATAGAAAGCCATGTCGGCGGGCCAGGGCAATTCTTGGAGCTCGGACTCGATATTGCTGACCGCAGCTCCTAGGGAGCCTCCGGCCAGGTTGGCGCGGATCAAAGCCACCCTTCGACCGTCGATTCTGCGCACCTCGCTCGGCCCTTCGCCGAGCTCGACCTTGGCCACCGCTTCCAGGGGAATCGGGCGGCTCGAGCCGGGGTTGATCTCAATCCGCCGGACGTCGTCGACGGTCGCCCGGTCGTCCTCTCGATAGCGGACGATGATCGGGAT